TGATCAAGGACTACAGGGCGATAAGCTACTTGGGATGGCTTATTTTACAACCCTGCATGACAACAGGTGTCACGAACCACTGTAAAGGTCGTAATAAACCTTTCAATCCTGAAAGGTAAATAATCCCATGGTTCACATTCTTTACCTGTGGGTGCTCATTGTTTCACCTGCTAGAAAAAAAAAGTATAAGTGGCAGAGATTATTCACCAGAGGCCTGTCCAGCCTTTCTTTCCAACAGTTGCTGGTGGCCTGCACCAGGGATGGGGGTGAAATGCTCTGACTCGTGACAGTCCAGGGGTCTGATAGAGACCTCCCCTCATGATCTCAAACTCACCAGGTGATTTAGTTCCAATGATTTAGTCATTTGCATTTCTCTTCTGCCAACACTGATATTAAAGGGTACCTTTTGTTTGATGGATCTGGGCGCACCAGATGCAAGCAATTTTCCCCCATTCATGTATAAGCAAAAGTCCTGTGTCCAGAAGAGAAATTCTAGACTCGATATCTCTTACATACAACCATCTTTCTCTTCAGCAGTGAACTTTCACTCTTGGTCGTAAGTACTTCTGTTTTGCAAATATGTCATTTTCAAATCAGAAGCATTCCTTTAAACTTATTAAACACAAGAGCTAAGGCTACTTCGCACAGTCTTAATGCAGAAACTCCGCAATTAATCCTGTTGTTATGCCTCCAAAATGTCGCCTTCCTATCTATTAGTGGTATGTTCAGGTTAATCGATTTCGACACAAGGATCAGATAAATAGATCTGCTAATAACAACAGGGTTGACCAGGAAATTTGTGGAGTAATCTGTATTTGAAAAACCTGACTGAGTTTTCTCATGTATGAAATAATGAAATTCAACATGTTTCAAATAAGACAAATACATTTTTTATAAAAAAACAAAGAACATACTTGCGCAGACAAGTCGCTTCTACTGGATGGTAATTAAATCTTCAAATTTTTCCTTCTCAAGATAGAGCTCTGTAGAGATTAACAGGTTGATCTTCAAATCGAACTGTACCTGCCAATCTCCAGATAGAAAACTGAACTAAGAAAGTATGCTTGAGTTTAATAGGTAAACTCGTTTGTTGTGACACTCAATAAGGAAGTGCTTTGTTATTGCAATATCTTCTAGGGCAGAGTAGATATCATGTACTACAGAGGTCAAAGACATAAAGTAGCTAAAACAAGGCAACTTCAACGGTTTTCTGGACCACGAGTTTATGCTGCAACTGTATAGAAATAAACTAAGTGAAATAAAGAATTCCTATATAGTTAAAAACAGGTAGAAGACATATATGTCTGCATATCACAATGAAAACTAAAATGAAAAAGCACAGTCAATGGATTTTCACATGGTTAAATATAAAAATGCTCAATATAAACAAAAAATAGCAGTCTTGGTCATAAACTCAACCAATTATAATATTGTGTCTTATTTTTTTGTTGTTGTTGCAGAGTTCTTTATGTAATCTAATACCCGTTTGTGTTCTAAATGGCCAAGTTAACATTAATTTGATGGTCATGTTTTGGATTTACGCACTAGATGACAGCATCATCGCTACTATACATTTCACATGTACATTCCTATTGCTTTTGAACAATATTTTTAAAACTTTCAAACAAAATTTCATACACTGAAGTTGGAGACTTTGAAGTGAGAGGTACTTCTGTATTTGATGCTATTGCCAATAGACAAAAGAAAAAGAATGCTTTATCCTTTTATCAACAGAAAAAGCAAAGTCTACATGAAATATATCTAAGATATAAGATTTAGCTAATGGATTAAAATTTAGACGTCCTAATGCTGCTAAAATACTGTAATTTTGAAGCTTGTTTGAGGATTCATCTAAATAAATGTAAATCAGAGTTAAAAGGTTTTTAATTCATCTGATGAATTTTGCATTTACTGAGAAATTTAAAATTCAACTAAGAAATTATCAAATTAGTTCTTTCATTTTAGGTTAAGGCAAAGAGATAAAACAGTATACAAAAAAAAACAAAACTCAGAAAATATCATCTGTGGAATATCTAACTAATATTCGATGACGAGGAACCCACTTTGAGACTAATAATGGC